AAACACGGGGTGTGACCGACCGTATTTTTCCTCGAAACTTTGAATGAAAGACACAACGTCTCCGACAGGGTCGGTCACGCGAGCCCGGGGATCTGGTCTGATGAATCGCAGGGCCAACCTTGGGGCAAAAGACAGCATGTCATCCAAAGTCCTCTTCCTGATTTGCGATAGCTTGTAATTAAATCCACTATGATTACCTGAATATATCCAGAAGTGTGTAATATGTAACTCTGAACGGTAGCATAATCAAATAGTAACCCCATCCTAGTAATCCCTGGGGGGAAATAAAAACAGCACTGATTAACTCTATTCCAACTGAAAACGTGCTTCTTACTGTTTATTTCTTAAATCAAACAGATGTACCCTCGGCTGAGGCCTTGAGACGATGTAACTATATACCCTATGGTCTGCTGTGTTGACCTGGAGAGGTCTGGATGGTGGAGGGTTGAACACACTGGGAACTCCTTCCTGCTCATTAAGTCTGTCCTGAACTGCAGCCTGCAACACACACATGCAAACCCATCAAAACGCAGTTTTACAGCATTAAGTGCAAAACGACTGACAACAACAAAGACAGAGCGACAATAAAATGCGACCGCTTTACCTCTATGTTCCAATTATGCTGCTCTAATGTTCGGCGGCATTGGTCCATTGATTCTAACCCAGTTAAGTCCTGTTGGACACAAAGCAGAAAGTCAGGAGGAAGTGAAAGTAGAAAAACTGTTTTTTCTACTTTTCTACTAATTGATTTCACCCCTCAGCCACAGCTTCGAGCTGCAGCTAACTGAGGATTGGAATAATGTTTGTTGTCTCCAATAAAATGAGTAGAAATGCTGCTGTGCATTATGTTCACATAACTTGGATTATACTAAACAGGCTACTATCAATGATTGCTGAAAGACAACTTAAAGGCCATTTCAGGCTGACATTTCAAATGACTGAGGGTTTGGCACATTTGAGCTCCGCGCATTTGCAGTTTTGAAGGGCCTGATCATCGTTTTTTAAACTTTACATTCGGTGAAGCACAATCATCTCTGGCACGAGATTAAAAGCTAAAAAGAGTCCAAAGACATTGAATGTCTCGCTTTTATTTTTGTAATTTCCTGTTTGGTTTTGTGATTTCCATGCTTCGCAGGACATCCTGCCTAGCTACAAAATGGTGGCCGAAAGCCTGTGGATTTGTTTTATCTTTTTAAAATGGATTTTATTGTCAACTCTGAATCAAAGTAAACACGAATCGTGATTCCTTTGTGAACCGACCTTTCATCTTTATTTAAGCTGCATTCAAAAACCTTTGATCAGTCAAAACTATTTGATTTGTCTGACGTTTTTCTCTTTCGTTAAATTAAAAAAAAGGTGATTTAATTTCCAAGTATACACCAAATATCAAATAAGGACCTGTAAAGTTCAGATCAAAGATGGGGAAATTATCAAATAGTAAATATTTGTTGGTTAATTTCTCGAATTTAAATATAATACTACAAATGTGCCAAATTGAAGGCCTCTTTGATCTAAGGAAAATTTTTCCTTTTACTGTTTTTAACACTGAAAACATTTCTCATACTAATAAAATTAAACTTTTTTTCACAGATGATCATATTATTTAGCATGACAAGCTTTTGGTTAGAATTGAGAAGATATAGAATAATGTGTGACAATAATAAAGCAATATTAACATCAATAGTAACTTAAGTTCTCTAGATGTGTAGATTATCCTGGTTTTACATTCAGATATGTAAAACCATTGACTTTGGTCCAGTTCAGCCCAACGAGTTGGGATCTGTTGTCAAATGGCGATATTAAAAAAAAAATTAATTGAGCTCAATGGAATATGTCAACACCTTCACTGAAAGCATAAGTTAAAATAATTGCAAAAATAACAAAAAAGAAATCCTGTCCAACCACCATAAGCTTTTAACTTAGCTCCAAATATGATTGGATCTGACAAAAACTAAAGTAAGCGTTTTGTAAACAGCTACCTAAAGATGATTAAACCAGTTGATCGCCTGCCATAACGAGATTATTTACCCAAATCGAAAGAGAAGAGAATATAAATTTGACTCGAGTATAACTGAGCTAAATATGACTTGATTAACACGACTAGCACACAGTCTCCTCAACACACATCAGACTAAATGGATAAAATTACATTGCCAGGTCTTGCTGTCACATCCTAACACGTTGAGTAAACGAATCTGAAACACTGAATCGTCATCAAACTTCAGTGTCAGTCTGAGAATGACAGCTGTGCTAATGTTGACTTAGCAAATGTTAAGTAGCCAACGATAAATGGAGACACAATCCAAGATTAATATTCCTAACAGTCGGAACACTGATGTTTCTGATTCACAGAGTTAGGCCGAGTCTGTGTCTATGAGAATTATATGACAAAATTGACGCCTTTTTAGCCCAGCCACGTCCCAGAAAGTCTGCTAACTTATTGGTTAGCTTAGCTCCTTTTTGGTAGCTCTGCTTCCAGTTGCCGTTGGGGGATCGTTATCGAAGTTAAGTGTACGAAAAAAGGCTTTCCACACAACCCTTCGACCTGCTCACAGCGACCAGCCGTGAGTGGAAACGTATCGACATTGGAGGTTTCAAATGGAAGGGTGTTAATGAGGATTTTTTGGCTGTCTACCTGAAATTGAAGGAGTTTTTCGGTCTGCGCCTGGGATAATTCTGGCTCCTCTGGCGCCGCCATCTTACCTCGCCAATCATCTAGCCAGGCGTAAGAACGTCAACCGTCTTTTCCTGCTGCTGGTTGCGTTACCGCACGCGCCGAGCGCTGCTGCCGCCTAGTGTTTTGGATATTGTATTACAATTGTTTTCTGGATATGATTTCCATGTACTTTACACTCTTAATAAATCACTAAACGCTTCACTAATTTTGTTTGTCTTTCTAAATTTCATGAAGTTAAAACTAAGTAATAGAATCATAATTTTAAATATATTGTGCATCTAATTCACACAGGCTCAAACCGACAGTTTCTCTAATAATTGCTGCTGGACTAAGTTTTTTACCCTTAGGAGTCAGATATTAAAGTGTCTATAAAAAATAATTGCAGATTAATAATTTTAAACTATGCAGAGGTTACGCACTGAAATCTAAACCATCAGCTTCAGTTTGATGCTTCTCTAGAGACCTTGAGTAATATCTTTCTCGTGATGTTGCTGATAAGACAACAGTTCTGGGTGAGGTCAGTCAGATTTTGTATTCACTTCTTAGTATTAATAATGGATACAAACAGGAAGTTTCTACAATCTTTGAACATAACTTGAGTAAAACTGTGATTTAATTTCTGCCCCCAGAAATGATGAAACATTTGGAAAAAAGCCGTTGAGGCAATATTATAGTCATGTTCATAACAAAGCTAAAAATAATAGAGTATTGGAACTAGATGTCTCCGATAGTTGACAGGTTTTATACCATACAGGGTTGTATTAACTTTTGTTTCAGCAGATCTATGGCCCCAGCTCAGTTTAAGACTGGCTGCATTACTAAACTGAAGAAACACATTTTTATGACTTTTGTTTTTATTGCTCCACCTGGCACTAGATGCAAACTTTTCTTTGTTTAAAATGTTTTTTTCAGCAGCAGGATGAGTGAGAGTTCTTATTAAAAGAATACATATTTCCTGAAAGTACTGCTTTTTATCAAATTAAATGTATTTTTGATCCACCTAGTTATCATGACATACTATACTTTATTATATTATATTATAAACAAAATCTGTCTGTGTATAAGCAGAAAGTAATAGTTGCATTATCCAGACATTGACCTGCTTTTTATATCTTGGAGCACTGAGGACACAAAATACCAAGCAGTAACCAAAAAAGTCTGATGCAGTTCTTGAATAATCTGAATATTTTCTAGGACTAAAACAGGCAAAAAATTTGGGAGAAAATAAAAGTCATCCTTAAAATCTCGTACATTAATATGAAGAGCACGAAATGTTGCAAAACCATTTCATATGCCTTTTTGTGCACCATTTAGGGTCGCATTCATGCTTAAAAAAAACAAAAAAACTTGTGTAATAGCTGTCTGATTATCTTTGTGGTGACCACATAACATTTGATGAGTCATCCTGTGCAAAGTTGGGCAAATTCTAGAAACTTGAACCAAATATGGGCTTGTGTGCCATAGCTTTTGAAAGTTTCAGTCTGTTAAAATACAACTAAGCTATAAGACACTGGAATATTGGTTTTCATGTCAGAGTTTCCCACAGTGCATTATAAGCCTGGTGGCCTGCCATGCTTTGCTAGGCCCCCCGCCAGGCTAAGCGTTGCTTGATTTCATTTTTAGAAAAATTAATAATTGACAAAAAAAATCACAAATTTTCCTTTTGTCTCAGGTAAATCTTTAAGCCGGATTGCAGGCGTCTCTGTTGTGAGCTTTTCACTCGCGGAGCAGATGTATTTCTAATTATGTACAGCGTTTACAGCTCAACACGCTGTCCAGGGTGAGGCTGTTGTCTCCCTGTGAAGTTTATGTCTGTGTTCCCGGTTGGCCGGAGCATTAGTGGTAAACAAACCAGCGCTAACCTTATGCTGTTGTGTCGAGCTTTTGCGCTCGACACAACAGTTTCTGTGATTTTTATTAAAAACTCAACAGACACGAAATGGAAGAGCTACTAAAGCCACAATGACAGCATTGAATTAAATGCTGTCATTCAATTCACCATTTGTTGCGCAGTGCAGCACATTTAATTCCCCCAACAGCTGGTCCCAGGCTGTATGAGGCCATGGGCAGAATTTGCCCATGGCCTTTGATGAGTCATCCTCATCAAAGGCCATCGGTCATCCCCCAAAAAATGCCATTTATTGGCATTTTTTATTGCCATAAAAAATGACAATAAATGAAGTTCTGAAATGTTTCACTGCATGTAATGAATCTGCACAAGTCTTAGGTTTCACTTCTGAAATGAATGACAAAAAATATTAAAATTTTCATATTTTCAGTTTTCTGTTCCACCACTTTTCACACACAAAATGAATAATACAGATTTAACACAACATAAATGAAATTTATTAATTCGCTTGTGTTGGCATTTGCATTGCAGAAGTCTTAAAGTCAAGTCTAAAAACAACAAATGAAAAAGTGTATTTTGAAAAAACAGGCCTAGAGTAGAAGAGAACATTTCAATCTATTAACTGGACAATATTGTTTTCCCCTCTTCAGTGTTTCTGCACAATTGTGATATTTATTCCAAAAGAGCAAGTCTGTTCTATTTTTTCCCCTCAACCATAATGATATGATATCCAAACTTCGTCTTGACAGGTGGGTCTGTGTAGACGGGTTTATCCATCGAACTGACAGGTAGAGCAAACGCTGCCTCCTGGAACGGACCGACCATGGACCCTCGCGTCATCCAACCCAAATCACCCTGTCATGGAAGAGCAATATTCCTGATATGAGTAGAAGTGTGATGCAAATATTAAGATTTCCAAAACTGGACACATATATTTATTCTAAATTAAACACTTCATTGGCATTTCTTTCAATGTCAGAGGAAACCATGAGTAGGTGTTCTGGTCTCTGATGCAGGTGGAATAGAGAGGAGCTGATGCTAAATAAAGCAGCTGTCAGCAATGACGCAGTCAAGAATCTTAGATTTATGTTTTGATCATGACTAACAGCTCACTGTAAGGTCACTCAGTACTATTACCTTGCACTTATTTACAGAAGGTGTTGTTTTCCAGCAAACGGTGACACAAACAGAAACTTTGTTAAAAGATGTGATATGGCAGTTCCTTCAAGTACATCTGACCTCATTCAAGCAAATATATGATGGAAAATTAACCAAGACAGTAATTGTGAGCTTAACTACAAGAAGTATGTATGCGTAGCACTTACTGGAATTGTCTGAATCGAGATGCAAAAATACATAGCTGGTAATAAAAATCCAAAAAAGAATCAGCTGGCTTGCGCATACTTACTCCTTGTCTTGCTTTGTCTTCACTGTATTGTGTTGCTACTTCACTGAAACGAACTCCAGCTTTCAATTTCTCCATGGCCTCCATGCATTTCCCATGCTTTTCACAGAGAATGTGCCGAACCTGGGGAGAGAAATATGTTGGGAGGTTTACAAATACAATTTGCTGAAACTGATGATTCTTCGGTATTACTGGCAAAGTACGGCCACGTCCTGACAGAAGATATTTTGTACATTCCTCTCATGCCTCTTGAACTTTTTCAGATTTTGTCACAATATAAATTCCTATGTATATTTTAGGGGAAATTTTGTGACAGACCAACACCAAGAAGAGGAGTAGGATCAAATAAGTGTTCACTTCTCAAAGACAATGCAATTAATGTTGCAATAATAACATTGGAATATGTGCAGGTTTTACACCAATGATGCACAAATAAAATGCAAAGTTTTAGGGGTCAGACAAAATGTGTCAAAAACCCTCAAAAATACCATGTGTACTGTCATTGTTTTTGCAGAGTTTCAGGGGTCAAAGTGTATTTAGTGGCTACCTTAACAGCTGTGCCTCCTTTAGGCGTTTTTTCCTTTTTGTCAGCGTCTGAACTTCCTGAAGCAGCTCCTACACAGATAACACCACAGTGGAGAGCAACACGTTATTCAGAGTAATGTTACTGTAAACTCCTCCGTTACACTGAAGTACATCAGTGTATGCTAATCTACAGGCTAACACCTGTAGCTCACAAAATCAGATCAAACCACATCATACACAGGAGGTACGCTGCGGCACACTGACCTTTACCACCCTTTCCACCTTTTCCCTTTGGTGGCATTCTTTCTGCTAAACGTGGGTTTGAAATTTAAGCAGAAAACGAGCAAATGATAACGTGGTTTCGAGTGTAGTAATAAGCATGCGTAGTAAACTGCTGCAGAGGACTGTTTTGGTTTCTTCTTCTTTGACTTGTCGTTAGTAGCGGACTAAAACAAGCCACTGCCACAGCGCCATCTCGTGTTCAACATCGTCTGTGCAAAGTCACTTGGGTGGTAACTTTTTTTTAAATGTATGTATTTATTTTTAATATATCTTACAGTAACATTAGCCTGATATTATTTTTAAGAACTTGTTGGGTATTTTCTGCATAGTTATTTTTCAAATAACCCAATGCATTTATTTTATCTTTATCAAACTACAAATGCAGACGACCAAAAATAAATAAATAAAAAATAAATAAATATTTATTTATTTATAAATAAAGCAGCTGTCAGCAATGACGCAGTCAAGAATCTTAGATTCATGTTTTGATCATGACTAACAGCTCACTGTAAGGTCACTCAGTACTATTACCTTGCACTTATTTACAGAAGGTGTTGTTTTCCAGCAAACGGTGACACAAACAGAAACTTTGTTTCTGTTTGTCTCAGGTAAATCTTTAAGCCGGATTGCAGGCGTCTCTGTTGTGAGCTTTTCACTCGTGGAGCAGATGTATTTCTAATTATGTACAGCGTTTACAGCTCAACACGCTGCCCAGGGTGAGGCTGTTGTCTCCCTGTGAAGTTTATGTCTGTGTTAATATATATAATTAACCCCTATATGGTTAATTATATATATATATATATATATATATATATATATATATATATATATATATATATATATATATATATATATATATATATATATATATATATATATATATATATATATATATATATATGTATGTTCTCTCATATATCCAAATATATATGTTCTCTCATATATCCAAAACAATTAACCCCTAGAAAGAAAGAAAGAAAGAAAGAAAGAAAGAAAGAAAGAAAGAAAGAAAGAAAGAAAGAAAGAAAGAAAGAAAGAAAGAAAGAAATAAAGAAAGAAAGAAAGAAAGAAAGAAAGAAAGAAAGAAAGAAAGAAAGAAAGAAAGAAAGAAAGAAAGAAAGAAAGAAAGAAAGAAAGAAAGAAGAGAAAAAAAGAAAGAAAGAAAGAAAGAAAGAAAGAAAGAAAGAAGAAGAAAGAAGAAGGAAAGAAAAGTAGAAAGAAAAAAGGAATACAAAATCTAATAACAATAATGATAATAATAATAATTCATTGCAAAAAATATTTGGTCACAGTAGTTATCAAGTGAGACATTTATTTATTAAGGAGGGAAGGGCTTCTCAAACTAACCAGGCCTCATGTTAAAAAGTTTCCAACTTTTGTTAATATGTGTGTAAATAATAAATGACTCAAAATGCTGAGACCAATTGTAACAAATACGTTTAGCATGCTCTTACAGAGACTGTTACTCCGATGGCTCTGTGGTCATTTGTCTTAAGGCATCTAAGCAGAAAAAATATATATATATAGTTACAAACACTTTCTGCATTAGTAGGAAATTAAAATGTAACTTATTCGCATTTTCTGTGTTGCATTGTGTGTGTACTGGTATTTTCACTCTGACATTCAGTTCTGTCTTGTTTCTGTTATTATTATACATTTAACAGCAAAAAAATGTATTAATTCTATGTTCTAAATTAGAAATTATTTAATGGCAGCTTTTGGTGCCAGTAATTGGCACAACCATAGGGGTCAATTGTTTTGGCCCCTATATATATATATATATATATATATATATATATATATATATATATATATATATATATATATATATATATATATATATATATATATATATATATATATATATATATATGTTCTCTCATATATCCAAAACAATTAACCCCTATATGGTTGTGCCAATTACTGGCACCAAAAGCTGCCATTAAATAATTTCTAATTTAGAACATAGAATTAATACATTTTTTTTGCTGTTATATATATATATATAAATTTTTTTAAAATATATATATTTATTTCATTACTTAATGAGATAAGCATTGAAATACTATTTATCTTTGTCTGATACTATAATTAGATTGATTATCTAAACTACTCTTCTTTTTTGAAGCGACTGGAATCTATTAATTTTACCGGCAACCATATGAAACCCTGAAGTCCGACAGAAGCTTTCTACCTAATGGATGTTCTGCTTAAGAGACTACTGTATCTATGAAATGTATTCAGGTGTGTCAGTCCTGAAGTGGCAGTCTTCCTACAATCGCTAGCCAAAAGTTGATTTCATCTGCTGTAAAACACTAACATAAATAATACATTAAGCATTTTCCTGGTGTACTTTAGCCTATTGTAATTCCACTTTTCACCATCTCAGAGCCTTTGGGAAGGTTTGTCCTCCAGACCTGGGATGAGCAACAACAGCTGAAAATTTCTACATGTTGCCCTGCTGAACATGTGTTTTCTTACCTAATTCCTCTAATCTTTGTTTTATTTTGTCATTTCTATTGTAACCTGATAATACAGGCCAGAAAGCCATATCTGGTGAGAGCATACCATTTATGATTCCAGCAGTCATACTTTGTTGTGCTGTAATCAGATCCATTTTTTGTCTATTGCAGTTTCTAAATGAACTATCTATACTGATATGAATAAATGTTTAAGACAATAAGACATGTCGTTTTTCAAACACTTCATTGAATCACTGTTGAATTTTTGATATGGTGTCATACAGGTCAACAATAAGCTGAGATTAATTTACAGGAGCTGTAAAATGGAGGGAAGCAGAGCGGCTCTTCACAGAAGAAGCGGTAATGGAGTGGCTCACAGGTCACTGTGGTTGTTGATTAAATACGCATGAAGACATTCTGACCAAACATGATGTCATCTCTACGTCTGGTATTTTCTGGACTGCCTCTGGTCTAAAATATGTTCTCTCACAGCAGCCACTCCAGATCTCTCGAGTGTGATTAATAGGGTTACCATGGGATAGTATGACCCTCTATATCACAGTGTTTCCTTTTTCATCCACATTATGCTGTGTCTCCATACAAAAGATAAACGTACTGAAGCATGCTGAAGTAAAAGATCAGTTTTGTTGTGTGTGCCATGTTGTGCCAAATAAAAAAAACATTTCCAATTAGCAGTAAAACTGGTAAAAAGAAACAAAAGTCAAACGTGAGAGCTTGTAATATTTAGGTCTTTTTCTTTGCATTAATTTTCTATTATAGGTCACGTTTGATTGTTCTTCCCTATATGCTTTTCAGTCAATGTGATGTCATACAGAGACATGTACCTCATGTTGGGGAAAAAAAGTGCACTGGTAAAAAAAAATGTGCAAAGTACATTAATCTTTCATAACTATAGCAATAATTTCACATTCAATGACATATAGCAGTTTTCAAGCTGAGTCTTTGACCCCACAGTGACCATTCTCTTCACAGGTAACAAGATACGCTCAGGTGCTCCCAGTATAAATCGTCCATCAGAAAAATGATGTATGTCATAAAAAATAACTGCTATCAAAAAATTTGGAAAAAAAAAAAGTCCTGCCTATTGTTTCAGCAAATTCTGCTCTAAAAAGAAATATGCCAGCTTTACTTTTAGAATTGGGCTTTACTTTTCTAAAACCGTTAAGCTCTGTGACGTCTTTACTTCTCTTGATCGCATGACTTCCTGTTCCCCTGCGTGTCGAGAAGACATGACACAAAGGCCTGTTTCTGTTAATCAGTCTTAAAAACGCAAAAGAGAACAGAGCACAATGAAACTTCAAATGAAACAATAATTAAAGGATTTAAACCAGTTGAGACAAACAGGTTAGATTAGAAGGAGACGATTTTTATGCAATATCATGCAATTCACTTTGAAAGTAACATTTTTCAGGAATTGTTCCATAAGAGGAAAACATTTGTTGCCATTGTGCAGGCAGAATAACAGAGCTTGCTTGATGTTCCACGACATGGGTTCAAAATGAACACTTGATGGGGCCAGAGAGAACGCATGCATCCAAATCTTCACTTTCATAAGAAAAGAGATCTAAAAACATGTTCAGAACAAGTCCCTGGATTATTACTTACATAATAAAAAGTACAGTGAACGTTTGAAATGTCCTTTTGGCTGAACTAAAACATACTTTCTTAACCTTCATTCACTTTTTAAATGAGTAGGAAATTAAAATGTAACTAATTTGCATTCGTTACATTTCACTCTTATCTTTGTTTCAACATGACATAAAAGCACGACGTTCAGAATGAATTCTCATTCATAACAGACGTGTGGAATGCATAAATAGACGCACAAATGTTGCCGTTATTTTGAGCAAATGACTCAAAACAATACCAAAACCAAGATACCTTAATTAGAAACTGGTGTGATGAGACAAACTAAGGTGAAAATGCTGCCACCTACACACAATCCTGTCTGATAAATGGACACATTTTATGATGGGCTTACCGTATGTCTGACACCTGCGTTGTTCACAAAGTGGATGACTTGTCTACTTGTTTCACTATGGGCCATGCAATGACCTGTGAGGTGCAATAAACCCATTCAAAATGAAGTCGCACCAAGAATGTTCTGGGTTTGAATCCTGGCCTGGGATCTCTCTGAATGGCCTCACCATGCAGAAATGGGTTCTCTCCTGGAACTCTGACTTCCTCCCAAAACCATCACTGTTAGGATGATTTGTTCCTCTATAGGTTGTTCTTTGCATGACGTATACTTTTTATAAGCCTTATATAAACAAGAGAGACAGATAACGTTTTGGTCAGAGCAGACACACTGATGTGAAATTTGAGATCCTTATGCAAGAGCTTTAAGAAATGTGTTTGATCTCACCATCTGTACTCTTGAGTAATTATTTCATAGCAATCACCTCCAAGAATGTCCTAACATGCATGAGTGAGAATTTATTTTACAGGTGCAAAATAGAAGGACATTAAAATAAAAGGGACATTAATTGGCCACTGGAGAATTAACCCATAGCTATTTAAAATACTCAAGGGTCTGACAATGAAGGCAATGATCTGAAAAAGAAGATGGAGCACCAAACTATCCAACATTTCATTCAATGCAAACCTTAAGCAGGCCACACATTTTTGTTTATCTGCCTGTA